TTGGATGGTGGGGGGGCGCGAGTGAAATTAGACCAACTTGGGGGGGCGCATGTCCTAAAAGGTTGAAAACCCCTGGCTTACAGTATGTGTTTTTCACACTGTGTGTTTAATATTAGTTTAGTAAATCCTTCTCTAAATGTTAGAATATTTTGATGGATTGTCTAATTTTCTTTTTGGTTTTCTTTGTGTTTTTGTATTGCAGATGATTGCAAAGGAAAACGACAAAGGAAAATCTTGTATAAAACTCAAAACTACTTAAATCTTTATGCTGCAGACGGTCTCCGGACACTCTGTATCGCCAAAAAGGTAACACGGACTCTCAGTAACAATTGGAAAATTACATTTTTTAATATGATATAATATAATATAATCTTACACAAATAATGTTTTTGAATAACCTTCATTTTGATATATATTTAATTTAATCTTTAATATGAATCTTTAATCAATTGACAGCCCTCATTTTTATTTTGTCACTTTTTTTTGTACACTTTTGGGTGGACTTTACTGGATAAAAACAAAGTGTTTGTGTTGAAAATGTAAAAGTGTTTTTGCACCGATGGTTTACAAACTCTGAGATTTTTCCCAGAATGCTGATCTGTGTGACAGATCTCTAACTCTCTGTCCGTCTTTTTCTCATCTCTCTTCTTTCTCTGTATCTCATGGATCGTAATATATGCTCTCGCTCTCTTCTCTGACTTGTTAACTCAGTGTCTTGAGCTCCTCGTGGGAGTCTGGTTGCCATATGATGTGATAAGATGTGTTCTTGTTTTTTTCCCCAATTTTTCAACAAACTTTCACATGCTTCCTTGGATCTACTGACTTAGATTTCTGCTGTCATTGACAATCAGAATTTTAACCAATGAAACGTTACTTTTTTTCCTTTTTCTAACTAAAGCCTAGCTGTGATCTAACACTTCCTATATCATTTTAATAAAAGTATGAATTCTATCATTTCTTCTTTTTCGCATGCTTCATTATCACTGTTGCTAAATAGTCACCTTAACAAAAGGGAAGCCTTGAACAGCTTGCATACAATTATTTTTCACACAGCTAAGTGTGATTTCATACATAAACGGAGCTGCTTAAAGTTTAACAAGCCTCTTATTGTGTTAGTTTTATTTTCTCCACCTGTTTGTTTTTTAAACCAGCAACCAGAATACCTTATTGCGCTCTTCTCTCTTTTTCCTTTTTTCATGCATCCCTTTGAAGCTAGAAAAACGTTTTGAAATATTGTGACAACCAGTGCTTTATCAAAACTCATTTTTTGCAAATAATGCTGATGTTGCACCTCTATCAGTGATGTGATTGTATTTGTTTGGTCCAGGTTGTCAGTAAGGAGGAGTATGCCAGTTGGCTACAACGCCACCTGGAAGCCGAGACAGCCATACAGAGGAGGGAGGAGCTGCTTTTTGAGTCTGCATTAGGACTAGAGACCAACCTCCAACTTCTGGGTAATAATAGTTCCTAAAGCACTCTTAGTCCATCAAGAACTAATTTACACCTGGTGTTAAAGGGATGGTCACCCAAGAATACAAATTCTGTCACCATTTACTCACCCTCATGTCATTCCAAACCTATATGAGTTTCTTTCTTCTGCTGAACACAAGAGAAGATACTTTGAAGAATGTGGGTAACCAAACAGTTGCTAGTCCCCATTGACTGTCATAGTAATTTTTCCATGGAATTCAATGGGGACCAGTAACTGTTTGGTTACCAGCATTCTTCAGGATATTTTCTTTTATGTTCAGCAAAAGAAAGTAAGTCATGCAAGCTTGAAACAACTTGACGGTCAGTAAACAATGACAGAAATTTCATTTTTGGGTGAACTATCCTATTAATATCTCGAGGTTCAAAACACAAGTGCTTACTAACAGACACGTAAAATCTTTCTGTCTGTCTTTTCAGTGAAAGTAAACAGTAAAGAAAATATCAAATGTACATCAGTATAACAGATCCGTGCATTTCTTATGTAAATGATGTTAATCAAAAAGCAAAAGAAAATTTTTTCGCTGCTTTAATAGCTTTAATGGATATTTGCTTCTATGTTAATGTTAATAAAGTAATTCGGTGTGACTACAGTAATGGTTGGGGGGGGTTGTTGGGTGTTGGGGGGAAATCTTTCTGTCTGTCTTTTCAAAGAGGAGCAACAGGTATTGAGGACAGACTTCAGGATGGGGTTCCCGAAACCATCGCCTCTCTGAGGAAAGCAGGCCTTCAGATCTGGGTGCTGACAGGAGATAAACAAGAGACTGCCGTCAACATTGCCTATGCCTGCAAACTGCTGGACCCAGAGGAGGAGATAATCACTCTTAATGCTGACTCACAGGTACACCCAGCATGCACTGCTGCAGTCTCTCAGCAGGCTCTGCTCTTTCTCCTCACTTCCTTCTCCCTCTGAATGCTGACTGAGTGAGACATGGTCTACATCTAATGACTGTTATGATAAACAATTTATCTGTTGATTACTTCTGCAGTCAATCATTTGGTCAGATTCCTCATCTCCAAACAATATGAAGTTGAAGGCCACAAATAATCACTAAACTGAATTTGAGAACCAATTCATTTAAATTTGAAATGTTTGAAAGAATTGATTTGCTTGAAGTGTCTCAGAATTCCCAACACTGCGGGGAACTGTCTTTCACATATGCCTTATTAAAAAAGTAACTATTACTCTCAGGCTGCCCCACTCCAGCTGACAACTTGCTTGCAACTACAGAGTTTGGAAAATGTTTCATATCAGTTCTCACAAGGGGTTAAAAAGCCTTTTATGATTCTATGATATCTTTGGAGTAGATTCTATTTGATCTTGTATTTAATTATTTATTCTCTGATTTATTGATTATTATTGTTCTTGTTTTGCTTTTTGCAACCAGGAATGACAGAAATGTCTGAAGGTATTGCTCATAACTTGTAGGCCTGATTGTTCCAGTTGAAAACACAAACTGTAGTTCTATTTCTCCCACTATTGTACCTTTTTTCCTTCACCCATCTACCATATGAGTGTTTTTTCCACTATGGGCACTTTAATCTCCCAAGGGCTGATTACAAATTTTTAGGGATGCACGATATTGGATTTTTGCCGATATCCGATATGCCGATATTTTTCAACTCATTTTGGCCGATAGCTGATACCGATATATTTCCTTTTGTTTGGAAACAACACCAAGTCTCTCCTGTGCAGAAATGATAAGCAAATAATTTTTAATTTTGGTTCGTTTTTAACAAGAACTTATTTGTTAGAATTAAATAACAATGAAGTTCTTTTGTAATGAAGGTACATTGAAGATTTGAAAATAACTATAAAAAATATATATATTCAATCGCTGCATTTTTTTTTTCAGGAAGATCCAGTGGTAACCTTAATATTTTATTTTAAGATTTAACATTTGTAAATGGTTGTTGTATGGAGTTGTACAAATTCTGAAAATCTTACACATTACACACATGCACAACATATTACACATTAATGAATAAATCAGTATATATATATATACAATTATTTAATTTAAGAGACATGTTTGTGTTGTTTTTGTTTTTTTGTTCATGTAAGCTATAGCTTCTGAACTTTAAATCAAAACATACTCATGATTTTATGGCTTCAATTACTGCTTTATTTAATCAGAAACTGTCTAAATATTATTTTGTGTATTTTGCTTTCATTTTATTAGAAGTAGGCCAACAGCGCCCCCTACGGAATTAAAACTCCTTACTGAGCGGGCATTAGGACCTGGGGGAGGATGCACGTGCTATTACTGTTTACTCTATCATACACCGAATGCGTCATTCTGTACGTGCATTCTCAGTTTAAATGCAGCGATCCAAAACAGTGAATCTAATTATCATTTGAGCAAAACTTTGCTTCAAGAACGAGCCACACTGCTGACGTGATCTAATCGCTAGCACACCCTGAGCACATGTGAGTTAATGTATTCCTCTTATCGGCAAGACATATCGGCATATATTTTCATATCGGGCCGATATTTACATTTAAAGCCATTATCGGCCGATTCTGATATTGGTGCGATAATATCTTGCATCCCTATTTATTTTTTAAATATTATTATTATCTAACTAATTAACTAATCCCAACACTTTTTCTCTTGGGATGGCTCTGTTTATCCTTCTTTGTTATTTGTTTGTCAAATGTCATCTTTAGTTAGTTTAATTATCGGCAACTGCTGTTAAGATTTTCTGTTTTTACACTGACAGCACTGAGAACAAAAGCAGCAGGCACACAATAAATTATGTCAAAAATTAATGTTGATTAATTTTCAAGTTCTAATTAAGTAAATATTAATATCAATTAATATTAATTCGATTGTAGCATGCTACTTGAACCCATTACCTGGGATTTGAACATGGGATGTCCGAAGCACAACGGCGATATATGTCGACGAGCTGCCCACAAGGCTATCAGCGCCAACAACATGTTATCTTCAAATTAAAGTCAGTCATGACCATTTTTATGTTTATGGGATATTGCAGTGTTTATTATAAATAATTTTCCCATGCACAGAATTTTTTCATTTGTGCGCCCTCATAATCTTTAATCATTACTTTAAATAGACTTTTTAAATAGTGATATTGCATATATTGGCTTTTTATCAGCTAACCTGCTCTCTAAGATATCAGCCATCAAAAGTACATATCTAGCCTATTTTGTAAGGTAATTTATTTAGACCTAAAGGACCAAAAGTGTCTATAGTTGAAAAAAAACACCCATATTCCCCTGCATGTCCACTATTAGACTGTAGGTGTTTCCCTCACAGAACTGCTGAACTGGTTTGAATGAGCTCTCATGATGTTTCATGATTTTGTCTCCTTGGAGAACACGTGATGCCTCCACATGAGTTTTGTTTTGAAAAACCACACAGGCAAAGATATGTCATCCAAGAATGTCTTAATCACCGACTTGCTGTATTAGTCAGAACGTTTTCTTTGCTTAAAGGGATAGTACACCCAAAAATAAAAATGGTCATCATCATACTCTCGCCCTTACCTCATTACAAAGCTGAATGACTTTCTTCCTTCTGTGGAACAAAAGAAGATATTTGGAAAAATGTTGGGAACCACGCTGTTTGGATTACTTTTGAACCAAAAAGAAGACATTTTGAGAATATCAGTCTCAGTGATTTTTTTTGTTTCACTGAAGAAAGTCGTAGAGGTTTGGAATCACATGAGGGTGACTAAACAATGACAACATTTTCATTTTTGGGTGGAGTATCCCTTTAAAAAAAGTGATTTTGTACAGTAAATATGTTATATAATTTATACCATAATTGTGATCTGTTTTGTTGCATTTTTTTTCTTTTCTTTTTGGGGGGGGGAGTAATTTCTCTGTTTGCCAGATGTTGTTTAACTCTCATGAGATCTTTATGTCCCTTTTATGACCTTCCTGATTTTTTGGTTTGAATGTGAACTCTTACTAGGAGGCCTGTGCTGTATTGCTCAAGAACAGTCTGCACTACATCCAGACCAAGTTCCTTTGCAACCCTCGACCAGATCCTCAAGCAGCTAGAGGCTATGCTGGCATCCACTTCTCTTCTCCGGTGTGTTCCCCGGCCTCCTCTGGCCACTCCAGCCCCTTCCTGGTGCACCGGCTAGGGCTGGTGATCGACGGCCGGACCTTGGCCTACGCACTGGACAAGAGTTTGGAGGACAAGTTCCTGGCTGTGGCTCGAAGTTGCAGGTCCGTTCTATGCTGTCGCTCGACGCCCCTGCAGAAGAGCATGGTGGTCAAGTTAGTGCGTAACAAGCTCAAGGTCATGACGCTGGCAATAGGTAAGTGGTGGATATGTTTGGTCGTTTTTAATCTAGTGTTTCTTGCAAATGCTTAATCTCAAGTGAGTTTTTAACAGTGTTTCGTTTAGCTGAATTTGTTGCATGAAAAAAGTTTTTAAAGCCCAGTCTGCAAATGATGACTCCCTAGTGGCCATAAACATCACATAACGACAGCTAAGATAATACACACAAATGAACTTCACTGTGTTCCACAGTACTAATGCTAGTGACTGTGCTTAAAGGAATAGCTTGCCCAGAATTGAAGATGGCATCATTTCCTCACCCTCACATTGTTCCAAGAGCTTTCCATGCTCTTTTCCATGCAATTACATAAACAGAGACTGAAGCCTTGAAAGCTCCAGAAAGGACACCTATGAGCACCATTAAAATAGTCTATGTGAGGAAAAATTGCCAATCCAACAAAGTCTGTCCTAATAATTGAAAGATTTTTCTTTTATTCCCTACTTTCAAAAGAAAACATAATTTTGGACATCAGTTTGGACATTACCTTTCAAAAGCTTTTTGATTTTTTTTCTCAGAAATTGTTAAATTGATCAAAAGTGATGGTAAAGACATTTATATCCCTAGGCAAATATTTTATTCAGAAGGTCCATTCATACATGTTTTAAAAAGGACTCATGAGAAGAAAAAAAAGTAAGACATTTTGTCATTTTTGTCAGAACAAAATAGGTTTTCGCTTAATCTTTGAATATGCCCGAGTTTGTCCTTGACTGGTATGTTTTTAAATGATTCACAAAGCTCATGTGAATGATTCCTTTCTGAATCTAGCACAGGAGTTCAGCTCACTGATTCAGTGGGAAGATTATCAGTGTATAATAATGTTCCGCTTTTCTGAAACATTTGCATCATTTTTAAAGCTTGAAAGCTTCAGTCTCCATTCACTGTAATTGCATGGAAAATTGAGACCAGTACAAAATATGTGACCCTGGACGACAAAACCAGTCTTAAGTCGCTTGAGTATATTTTTAGCAATAGCCAAAAAAACATTGTATGGGTCAAAATTATCGATTTTTCTTTTATGCCAAAAATCATTAGGATATTAAGTAAAGATCATGTTCCATGAAGATATTTTGTAAATTTCCTACCGTAAATATATCAAAACTTGATTTTTGATAAGTAATATGCATTGCTAAGAACTTCATTTGGACAACTTTAAAGATGATTTTCTCAATATTTAGATTTTTTTGCACCCTCAGATTCCAGATTTTCAAATAGTTGTATCTCGGCCAAATATTGTCCTATCCTAACAAACCATACATCAACGGAAAGCTTATTTATTCAGCTTTCAGATGATGTATACATCTCAATTTCAAAACATTTACCCTTATGACTGATTTTGTGGTCCAGGGTCACATATGTCCTCAAATGGGTTTGAGAAGACATGAGGGTGAGTAAAGGATGACTGAATTCTCATTTTTGCTTGAACTGTCCCTTTAAACAATAACTGGTTGTTTCTTTTTAAGATGTCCAAAATGGGTAAAATGGGTAGCATACAGTAGATGTTCTTTTTTTTGTTGTTTCTCGTACTGTTTGCTTGGCAAGTTGAATTTGGAGATTAATGGTCCCCAGTGTTGCCAAGTAAACATTTCAGTGGTGACTGGACAGCACGTGTCCGTCCTTTCCCCAGTGCAGAATGCCACATTTACAAGCCTACGCAGCACTCTAGCTAATTATCCAGATGGCTTTAGGGAGAGAGAGAGAGATGTGAGGTGCATCAAGACTGAGCCACCTGCCTGCAGAAAGAGCGGGTTACCTCAGGTCATTCCCCCCACCTTAATAAAGATTTTGTAATTCATTTATGTCTCATGGAAAGATAGGAGCAGGTTTTTTTAAACCTTAACACTGTCATTTTGGATGGGAATGAGAGAGGGAGTGCTCAAACGACCCTCAGCGGTGCTGTAAATAAACTCCTTTGCCTCGATTCAGAGCCTTGCCGTCTTCACCGCATGACTCTAATGAACGGACATTTATGGTGTACAGACATGTTCACAGCAGATGTTACCGGTTCTCACGCTAAGCATATTTGCTTTGTTGGTGTACTTCAAATAAAGGTGGTCTTGTTGAATTTGGCTGCCATGTTTGTTTGTTTCAGTTTGGACAAAGGCGACTGACCGTCTCAGCGAGCTATTACTTTTCTATATACTTCAAAGCCTTCTAGCTTTTTAGCTAGAAAGTCAGCTTTTGATGATAGCTTGGGGTCAAGTCAGCACTGCGCCTTATGCCTCAGGCAACAGAGGATGATTTTAAAAACCACCTCAAGGCAAGTTCATAGGTCCAAGATAAACATCTTTGAACAGATAGTATGTTATCTGAAGTACACTCTGCCTCTCACCATACAGAAGTTTCAGACAGAATGTTGTCAATTTACAGTTCATAATCATGTAGGCCTAATTGTGTTGTCATTTTTTTTTTCCTCTGTCATAATGGCCACACCTTTCATTCTCATGTTTATATACAGGGGCGGTCAGACTAGATTTGAATTATTTTTTTAAAAATGCAAAAAATGTTGTGCCTATTTTATTTTTATTATTTTATTTTATTTAGCTCTAACTCCTCCAGGAGCCCTTTTTTTAGTGATATCCACCAAATTTGCTGTAGTTCTTCAGTCTGTTTTAGCTCTGGGTGTTTTTTTAAGTTTTCCTGTGATCAGATATTCTGAAATATTATGTCTGTGCTCTGACTTGATGTGCTTACTACTTCTAACTGTTTGGACTGAGGCTTTTCATGCAGCAGACAATCAAAAATATTCAAGAGTTATGAATGTTTTGAGTCTGTTTCATAATGTTAATGATTTCACACTCCAGCAATCAAACACAAACAACCTTTATCCTGCTCTAACTAACTTATTAGTCTGCTTACTGCTATATAACCATTAAAATTAAAGATTTTTTTTTAACCTTCAGATATGTCTTAAAGCCAACATTTTTGTCTTTATACCCTTTTCTGTTTGAGGTTTCAGTTTAATCGTTTAACAGTGTGCCTCATTTAGTTTAAGTAGGGCTTAATTGAAGTTTAAAACTTTAATTATATAGAACAGGATGAAACAAAGCCAAAATATTTGATTTTCAGTCAAGAAGTTAATTTGAAGCGTTTAGATCCTTTGCTAGCTGAACATTCCTATACCAATTTGCAGCTCAGACTTAAACTTGAACTGATGAATGGAATGCAAAATTTAGCATGACTGCCACCTCTTTGGGTTCCTGTGTGATTTGACTTTGTAGTAAGCATTTTTCAGATGTGTAAAAGGTGACATTGATGTAAAGTCATGTCACCCTGCTAATGCACTGTCATTCCAGTTAATTTCAGAAACCACAGCTTGTTTCTGGGCTCTTTTGCGGATAATTTATGTTGTTTATTTTTGCCAGCAGAGCACTTTGCTGCTGATGCAATGTTTGCATTAATGCAGGCTGACATTGTGCAAAGTGAAACGGAATTGATAACTCGCGTACCCCTCTTTCTCACCCTCTTTTTGTGTCTGTTTTTCTCATTCATCCTAGGTGACGGAGCTAATGATGTTAGTATGATCCAAGTGGCTGATGTAGGGGTGGGGATCTCTGGACAGGAGGGCATGCAGGTAAGGAGAAACTGAAAAGATCAAGGGGAAGTAATGCTGATAAAGGTGTTTGAAAGGGGATGGTGGAGCCATACATTGTGGCCACACTTTACGCTCTGCCTTAGGTGTAAAGTACAAGAGGAATGAACATTGCAAAGCAGGACTGCAGAGTTAATGCACCAAGGTTCTGGATATACATAATTCATGTTTTATGAAGATGTTTTGGCCAAGATACGGAGACAGCCTGTACTCAGACAGTTAATAAATGGTACCTTACACCAGTGGTTCACAACCCAGTTATGAGTTGCAGTCTCTTCTGATAAGGTCAGCAACAGGGAAAACAACCCTAAATAGAAATAATTAAATGTTGTTAACCATATTATTGAGAATAGTTACATATTTTTATGTTTTGTTTTACAGCATAAATTACACAGTTTGAACACACAATTTATAACCTGTTTTTTTTTTTTTTATATTAATGTACAGTGCTAAATAACTATCACAATATGATTTTATGTGCTTGACACATCTGACAAATGTTGTAGTCCTTATATAATATTATTTTAATAGTCTTTTGCTCAAGTCGTTATTTATTTGACCAAAAATACAGTTTAAAAACAGCAATATTTTTTCAATTTAAAATAACTATTTTCTGTTTTAATATATTTTAAAATGTTATTTATTCTTGCTTAAGAAACATTTATAATCAATGTCAAAGACAGTTAACTGTTATTGACTGCTAAATATTTTTATGGAAATTGATAATTTTTTTCTGTATTTTTTTATCAATTGAATGTTCAAAAGAACAGAAGAATGTTACTTTTGTAACATTATAATTGTCTTTATTATCTCTTTAGATGAGTTTAATGCATCCTTTTTAAATAAAAGTATTATTTTCCTTTAAAAAATATCTTACTGACCCCAAAATTTTGAATGGTAGTGTACATGTATTCAGTATAAATTGCATTGTTATAACTTGTAGATGAATTTTGAAACCGCTGTGTGTAAAAAAAAAAATGCTAGAAAGTTGCTTGATTTTAGGAGATTTTGTTTGTTTTTACAATAAAGAATTTTGGTACTGTATTAAATTGCCACATGATTTGAAATCTGGGTCCTAAAGCAGAACTATTTGAAAAACGGACTCTTCCCCCCCCCCAGCTCTGTTCTTAGTGGCAGGCCTACATAATATACATTCTGTTAAGGTGAGAAGAGAGACAGGAAGCGCCATGAGATCATCTGTTTGACGCTCTGTCTCATGCGTCACGCAGATTAATTAATTCAGTGAAAGATCTGGACGTAATGAGGCACCACTCTTTGCTGTTTGCCAAAGTGCTCTTCTTATCGGAGATCTCCTTGAGGTCAGCACTCTGTATTAACAACCCTAATGAGAATCTGTTTATGACTCTGTCCCATAGATCATAATGTACCAAACATAGTAGGGTAACAACTGATCTCACCTGTTTTTTTATGCTTTCATGATGTGGAGAGAATGACAACGAGGATGGAGAACATAGCTGATGCCGCTGTCAGGCCAATTGTAACTGATTAAAATCCCAAACGTCATTAGAGGCGACAAGGCGGTATCTGTCATGCTGATAGATGACATGTTAACTGCCTGACGCGTGCAGCTGTCGAAAACATATGATAAAGAATAGATGGGTGATAGACGGGGGATCATTTTCACCAGATTCCAGTCAGGAAGGCTTTTCATAATTCTTTTATGCAAAAATGTCCTCAAATGTTTTGTCACCAGGCTGATGTTAATCTTTTGTCTTATGAATGTATATGGATGCCATGCCACCATATTTGTGTGTCTCACTTGATAGATCTTGGGCCTCAAGGCAAATGTCGTTAAAATCCTGTTTATATGAATGTGGTTGAACGCTTTAACTCAATAGGCCATCATGTAACATTATAGGAAAGGAGTGCATTTTTTTTTTTCCTTTTTGAGTATTGAACATATATACTTTTGCACAAGCATAAAATAAAGCCTATTTTTTGCATCCTTAAAGCTTTGCCTATTCATGCACTAGTGTTGGTCCATTGCTTTGTGAAAATAGTTTTAATTGCACATAACTTGTATTAACATTTACTGTCTTCACTGTTCTGTTTACATTGTTTTCATAGGCAGTAATGGCCAGTGACTTTGCCCTGCCACGGTTTCGATACCTGCAGAAGCTGCTCTTGGTTCACGGCCATTGGTGTTACTCTCGTCTCGCCAACATGATCCTCTACTTCTTCTACAAAAATGCTGTGAGACCCTGAAGTCTGCTCATTTCTGATAATAGTTAGCATTATCATACAGGATATTAACTACTGTAAAGGGACTTTGAAAAACAATATGGCAGGAATAATACATACATATATGTACAAAAATAAACTGTCAGACTGTGATCAGTGTTGTATCATACTGAATTAAGGTTTATTTTGTAGTAACGACAAGCTTTCTGGATATTATCCTGCTTACTGCATGGCTGAGAAATACATAAATAGAAATTAAATATTGATTTTGATTTGAAAATATTTGATTATTTGAAAGGAGGAATGAGTGCTACAAGTTAGTCACTTTTTTTGAATATCTTAAATCTTTGTCAGCTGTATCATCAGCACTAATCACAATTAGTAAAATTCAAATGAACATTCTGATGTGTTCAAATTTTGTTTAACGTTTAATTGTTTAACATGACTTTTATACTGTTTAATCATTAAACATTAAATTACACAATTAAACAATTACACCGTCCGTAAACGGCATAAATTGAAATATAATTGTGACCGAAAAGGCTTTTGAAAGTGTAATGTAAATGGTAAATAAAAACCCATGAACAGCGTTTAATAATTAAATATGAGTTTGCATATTTGGTTTGTTAATGAATTGGTCTTATGTTCTTTAAAACATAACTTATGTTCTCAAAAAATATTAATGCTTTAAACCTACAGATACCCTGTATTTCAGCCATTATAAAAAAAATGTTCTGCTCAATCTTCAGTCAAATAGAGTATTCCAGCGAGCCGTGTAATAATGCATCCAGTTTAACTATGGCGTTATTTTAATGACAAATGTCGAGAGTGCATTATTGTAGCGCGAAAGCACATTAATACAATGCGCGAGCGCGAATCTCTCTGCTCGCGCGTGGATTTCCCTTGCTCTCGCACAAAACCGGACGCTCGCGCTCAGATACATGCTGCTCTCGCCCAGAGAGAGTGCACGCACTTAAAACGTGTCTCTCCGGGCGAGAGCAGCGTGTATCTGAGCGCGAGCGTCCGGTTTTGTGCGAGAGCAAAAGGAAATCCGCGCACGAGCGGAGAGATCCGCGCTCGCGCATTATATTAATGTGCTTTCGCGCTACAATAATGCGCTCTCGACATTTGTCATTAAAATAACGCCAT